AGTTGAATTTGGTCCGATAGCAGGCAGACCCTGTTTTCCCGTCGCTTTTGGCTTGGCTCCTTGTAAGCGGTAAATCTTCTCGTCTATGAGAACCCATTCGTTGTCTTTCGACATGCCGTATCGTTTGTGGTGTTTTTCCTAACTAGGAACGATCTCAAAGCATAATGACCCAGAGCACATCATTTGCTTATAAACCAAACACAGTGAAGTTCATCAAAGCATTCGTACGTCAATGAAAATTATCCTTTGGCTTCTTACTAATTACATTAGAAAATTAATCATCTCAAAAGCATTGCCGATAGCCAATCCCTCTTGCGTTCTTTTGATAGATGACGTCAAGAAGCCATTATAGTGCGTGTGGTAATAATAAAGACCAAACACATTTTGTTTTCTCATTGGCTCGTAGCCAATCACGGACTTCCAGAATGTTTCCTTCCGGCCAGTTTCGCAATAGTCAAGATGAGTTGCAACGTCACATCATAATTAGCATTAATTAATCCCTTTCGGTTTTAATTGATTCATTTTCGCCATCGACGAGATTGAACGACAAGTGACGTTAATTCTTAATTAGCGTGTCCTTGGCGGCTAGTTTCGCAATAGTCTAAGTCAGGAACGACGCCACATAATTAACATCTATTTACTTTCTTCCTTAATTCCCTTTTTCCTTGGTGGCTAAAAGTCTAGATCAGACATGTAAGAGCAGTTTGTAGAATGGGAAATATCGATTCAAAGAGCTACCCCAAGGCGACCTATTTTGTACTTCTTGTCAGTAAGTCAAGCTCCCGAAAGTAGTAGAACATCGACCGCGCCGCGTACGCAGGGTCATGGGTTCCACCACATCTGAGAGCTTGCGTCACTGACTGAATGACGTCAGTGCCATTCTGTTTCTAAGAATCTTGAAGTTTATCATAATTTGTGTTTACTTAAAGATATTTTTTGTTCACTACTGTTTTTTTCCAAGCATAGTCCTAAAATGATGCTGGTTCCTGGCATGTTGAATCTAACGCGATCTGATCCCCTTAATTCTTTCGAGATTTGCTTCACACAACAAAAGCACCATCTTGTCTGGGCTAAATCTAAGCTGAACATGGAATGAGATTACTAAGGATGGCGCTTTTGCTCTCAAAAAGGATTAGAGGAAAGAAGGATGTTTCTGTCTTCCACCACACCCTGAAAACCTCTCCATTAATTAAGATTATGAAGTGTTCGGTACGCGGAAGTGTAGTTGATGTTTTTCGCTACCAGATGATCACTGCCTGGCGAGCTGATTCTTGTTAACCCGGGTGTTCGACGCGCTTTCGTGCGGCTTTTGAATGCGAATTAATATGGCTACAGTATTTTTTGAAAATACCATTTTGAGGAAGTCGACAAACCGGCTATGAAAGAACGCGAAATGAAGAGGAAGATTATAGCAGGCAAAGTATTTTTTTCGAGTTGTCGAATGCGAGGAATTGTTGAAATAGATTAAGCTCGGAAAGGTTATGTTAATTTTGGCCTCGTGAAGAAAGCCATTGTTGCAAATAGGAACCACAGTATATGATCGACGGTGTGAGCTTTGAAGCTGTAGCTTCTGTTGACTGCAGTCCATTTTAGTGACAAAATACCATTTTTGTAGCAAAATTTAATTGGAGCCGAAAAATTTGTTGGGGGACTTAAACCTCCCCTACTACGGCTCTGACATATGAGATAACAAAGTTGTCGCGAGAAAATAAAAATATTAGTACTACCTGGCGAAAATTGCATGATCGCTCAAGGTTTGCTTGCAATCAGAATCAGAACCTTTCGACTATTACTTTATATTAACAAATTTACGGTAACTGTTTTATGTCCTCTTCACGCCCGAGGAAGCAAATTCAGCAATAAATCTGCCATCTTAACCGCCAGCAAACCGCTCCCTTTAACTCAGCTACCATTTTTACTAAAATTATTTGCAAATTCAAAATTCTTATCTTTGATTGTTCGATCCTCATCAAGTGACTTCAAATGCCCTCTTTGCAGTATACTTAAATGTCCTTTCCATCTCTACAAGTCAGCTTTCCTGAAGATTTATATTTCAAATTATATGAGGAGAAATTGAAACTGCTCAAGCCTGCAAACAGCCGATCCTTTCTGCAACCTGGCAAATAAATCAGTGTTTGCGCGAGTAAAACTTTTTCTGGAAAGTCATTTGTTTGATTTTCTAGATGAGCAATAGTTAGAATCTCGAAATCAGCGTTCGTTTCAGTCATAAGAAAGGCAAAATAAAGCTCTTGCGAAATTTCTCTTCCGATTTCGAGACGAAGCGGAACGCACGTGGTTAATAAATTTGAGCTTTCTGAGCTTTCTAGAGGATTTCTTTTCGAAAAGAAAACTGGAAACCTCACCTTTAGCTGGAACGCAGCGGAGAGCGTGTAAACCTCTTCATCTCTCAAGAATTCAAGACAGTATTTCCACATTTACGGACAGCTTTGCTGTGGAAATTCTACGATTTGCCATGGATATGGTTACAAATTGAAAACAATCGCTGACAACTTCGCGACATATTTGGGGCAGAATTTGTTTGCACGCGTTTTCAGCCAGCAAATCACAACACGATCCATGAAAATAACATTACAAGGTGATTGTAATTTATTTGGAAAGATTTGAATGTAAGGCCCTGTCCACCACTACGTCCAAGGAATTTGAAAACGGAAATTTCATGCTGAAAACGCATCAAATGTTTTCCGCCCACACTATGCCGGAGGAATTTTAAAACGCAACAATCACTGGTCTTTTTGGACGGATTTGTGTTTGAGGAAAACTCGGTCAGGGAAATCACGTGATTATCGTGACGCCGTCAATTTGAAAAAGCTCCGTTTTCAAAATGTTTTCCGTCCACACGAAAACGCAAAGCCGGTGTTTTCAAATTCCTCCGGTTTGACAAGCGTTTTCGAAAAGCTCCGTTTTCGTGACGGATTAGTGAAGACGGTAGGCCTAACCGAAGAAATAAAGCTGCGTTTTCAAATTCTTCCGGCGTATTGTGGATGAGGCCTAAATTGAAAAAAAAAAAAGAAGAAAAAATTAAACGTGTATGTAGAAGAAAACAATTTTATTGCACTAATTATTAAACACAGAACAGATTTGGGAATTAAATAGATTTAAGGAAATCAGGGTATGAAGTTGTAGATCGTTGAGTGGGGGTTTCCCTGGTTCGATTCCCTGTGTCTGCAAAAAAATTGTTTTTTCCTTTATCTGCAATACAAAAACTAAACGTGGAATGAAATAAGTAAGTGTGTAATCTGGTTCAGGTCCTTGTTAACTAAGCTCTTCCATACTCACAAAATGGCTATCATGTGCTGGTTAAGTATATTACACTTTCCTAGAGTGAGTCGATGGTTCATTTGGGTTTTACTAGCTCAATTTTGTGAGTCAGGCTTGTCCACAAGAGACTGGTCAAGCGACGTTTTAGACCTGCTGGCACACGCATAACGAAAGCGGGTTGGCAGGTATACCTTAATGCTCTCGACAGAACGCAAGCCATTTTGAAAAGCGACTAGAAATGGCGCGCGATGCCGCAAAGGACTAGGGCGGAGGAACTCACTCCCTCTGGCACCAGTCTCTCCCTGGCGCGCTCCTTTTTCTGTAATCACCCCAACGAATCTGGCAGTTACCCGACAGTTACCCACACAAGTTTCTATCAATCATCGTTAACAACTGTTTTGTATATTTCTTTCATAACAAGTACCTCAGTATTTCAACTGAAAATGAAAGAGTTAGCTTGTTGTTTTTATTTTTCCAAACGTTACCAGCCAACTAACGGGTGGAATTCCTTCTTGGGCTTTTGATTGATGAATAATTGTCAAGAGTTTTTTAAACTACAAATTAGCAGAGAAATGCTCAAGGGAATGTGACAGTTTTTCGCGATAACAAAGAGCAAGAGACTGTTCTAAGGTAATTGTTTTGTTGACTTTACTTTGCCGTTTACACTATTTTGAGACCCGGGTAAAGATATCAATTGTGTCGTGCTGTGATATAGAGAAAGAAGGCAAGAGACCGAAAAAAATTATCCTTTATATTTCATTTTATATGCACTGTGAGTGGCTGTACGCCAAATCTTTTACTACAACAGCAAAAACACACAACAATTGGGCCGTCTTTAAAATTTGACACAAGCTTAGAAAGCCGATAACTCAATGAAAGGATAACAGAATTTTATCGATTGACATGGTTCCTTGCATTCGCGTGGCTTACGGCAAGATATTTTCAATGCAAGTTGGTTTTCAAAAGTTAACATCACGTCCCTAAGGAATACTTTCTTAACCCACGAGCTTACGAGATTTTGAGTCAAAAAGTCAACCGATTCGTTCCTTAGACACGTCACACAAAATAAATGTTTACAAAACAATACAAAACTATTAGAAAAACACAAGTTTAAAACCTTCTGAAGTTCAAGTATAGCCCATTTTAAAGTCGAAACATTTAACACTCTTTCCCGTTCACGCAGTTTTTATCACTGTATTGACTAACGCCGCGAATGCTGTTCAGACAGTCTGTTAAGTAATGTCCATTAGCTTAAAAGATTTAGCGTGTTAAGCGGATGATATTTTCAATTTTGTAAATCAACATCTCATATCGACAATAAATATAATAGAGTGGAAACCTGTATTAAGCAGAAACCGTATTTAGTGGACACCCTGTATATAAGAGGTCACCACTTTTAGTAGGTCCCAAACGTTTTCGTTCCTTTATTTCCTATAAAACGAAGCCGTATTAAGGGGACACTTCTATAATAGAGCGGATAAAAAGAGAGGGTCTCGGGGATGTCTGTTCAATACAGGTTACCCTGTGTAAACATCGTCAATCACCCGTCTTCACCCGAGGGGGGAGAGGGGGTAGCAAATACGTGCTCTCGCTCTATGTTATGGGAAACATGGGCGAGACTTGTACGAAACTTTGCCTTATTCAACCCTTAGCTACCAGTTATTTCCAGTTACTTTTATATTCGACTTTCTTTGCAGCTTGACAGCCATGCGGATAACAACTATTTACTTCTTAATCATACTATACGCTTTAACTACCGGGAATAGACCTCACCGGTCACGCAAGACGCGGCATAAATGGAAGTCACGCAATCTTAAGAAGCTCGAAAGAACCCTTCAGTTACGTGACGCAGAAACTCCCACACATTATCTTCCGGGAGCGTCTAGAAACTACGTGGCATTAAATAGCAGTAATTCACCTTCCTTTGAAGACGTTGTTTTACAGCTTAAAGAAATTGGAATTCTCGACCTGCCGAATGTAAGGTAAGAATGATAGTACACAAAGTCTGTTTCCCCTTAAAACTTTGATACGCGCGCGCGTTAATGACGCGAGAATCTTGCGCAACAAAATATTTGATCTTTCAGATATTCACTTGCATGCACAATGCAGTTCAGCGGAGTGCAGATACTTACTTATTGTAAATATGTTTTTTAATTTCTAGTATTTTTTAATAGTTAGTTTATTGTGACTGAAAAGCCCTGTTAAAGGGAGTTCCAATTAAGTACGTATGTATGTATGTAAGGGAACCTCCATGTGAAAAGGTCGGGGATGCTTGTCGACTCGCTTACGGACCGTGTAAATCACGAATTTTGGTCTCACTTAGCCACTATTCTTCGCGGTCAAGGTATTTTTTATATAAAAGAGAAATACCGCTGTCTGTCCGTTTCATGGAGGAATCTTTTAGGAGTCAAACCTCGAATCACGCCCAGACTGGTCGCCTTAAGTGGTTGAATTCAAATTTTCCAGCGAGCATTCCCGACCTTTTCACATGGAAGCCCCCGCCCCGGACCTAACACAGGAAACGTCAGCGTTGTTTTGGTAGCAAAGGTGAGCTTCACGAACACATTTTAAAAGCAACCTCTCTTTCTTTTCAGCGTAATACGCGGGTTAAATTCCTCCCAGTCACGGAAAGCTAAGAGAAACGTTTCGTCCTCTTCCAAGGCCTCCAAACGATGCGGTCGGATTGAACTTGGCGGAGCCAATCCATGCGGAGGCTGCCGGGCAACAATAAGTGACTATCCCATCGCAGGGGTTGCGACATTGCAGGCACGTGACTTCGATTGTTCTGCTCAAAGTACCTGTTTTGGTGGTCGGGGCTTGTGCCAGAAGCTGATTCGCAATTTTTACTTAATTGTCCGAGATGGCGATCGGGATGTATCCAAGACACTTGAGGTCCCTGTGGCATG